AAAGTATGCACTGAGGTCTTACTTTCCCACTTACTAGTGAATGGCATCAAGCAAATCTCTTTCTGAGTTTTACTGTAAACTGGGGAAGTATTTATTCAATATGATTTTTCAAGAATGAAATAAAGTTAGATAGTATTTGAGAAACTGTTTTGCCAATTCTAAAAACATTATAGACTTGTAAGATATATTTACTGTGACTTGGACTGATCTAAACATGGTATGTTTAGAAATAAACATAAATAAAGAAATAAAGTATGCACACAAAGGTAAAGTTTGAAAAAAACCTAGGTGAAATCTGGATCCTTGCTTCAAAACAGGGTGCCCCCTTTCAGCATTGTATATAACTCGCATTTCATTTTTAAGAGAAGATCTACCTTAAAAGTTGATTATGAAAACCTAGAGATGTGATGGCACCAACTTGGTGTTCCTTTTTTGCGTGACAGCTACTTTTGAAAATCTGCTAAATGTGTCAGCTCTTTCCATGTAAAAGATATACATTCTCATATATATACACAAAAGTGGGAACATGGATTTAAACCAGAATATGGAAATGTGTTTAAAAACTCTTCAGTGTATGATAGTTCCACGTTTTCTTGCATCCTATGGAATTGGAAGAAAAATATTAGTCTGAACAGATAGGAAGTACAGCTTTATGTTGATGTATGTTAGAACAAAATTGTGTGAGGTAAGATAAGGTTGAAACTATTTAAGAAAATTTCTGAATCAGCCTCACAGTTAAAGAAAACTTATATTGTTAACTAGAATCAGAGGACCAAGAATTTCCAACCCTCCTTCTCAAGGATTCTTCTAAAACCAGCCCTACTTCTTTTCCTCCTCCCCAAACCCTTCTCCTAATACTTCCGACCACACAGCACCTGCCAGCTGTGAGCTCTCCGTCTACAGAGACCAATAACCTGCCTCTAAGACATTGGTCTTGGTGCCTCTGCTATGTGGACAAGCACTCCCAAGTCTGTCTATCAAACTCCTGCCCACATTTCAGAGGCTAGATCCCAATAAAGCATCCCTCTCTGATAAGGTATATGAAATTTGTTTTATCTATGCTTCAGTTTTCTTGTGCAATGAAATATGTAGATGATGCTTCCCATTCCCAGCCCACCCACTCGTGTGCCTCTCTTACTCTCTCATTCTCTCTCTCTTTCTCAACCTATGTAGCTCTCTAGTTATAAAGCTCCCAAAAGGGTGTCCACTAATAGATGAAGGCCAACTTCTCCCTCCATAGCTCTGGGTTCTGACCCTCACATCCATATGGAAGTTCAAGAAAATGGAGAGATCCGGCTGGAGTGCACCTCAGTGGGATGGTACCCAGAACCCCAGGTGCAGTGGAGAACTCCCAAAGGAGAAAGGTTTCCCTCCACATCAGAGGCCAAAGTTCCTGACCAAGAAGGTCTGTTCGCTGTGGCTTCTTCAGTGATCATCAGAGATACCAATATGGAGAACGTGTCCTGCTACATCCACAACCTCCTTCTTGACCAGGTGAAGGAAACAGAGATTTCCATACCAGGTCAGTGGAAGCAATGCTTCATTCTTATCATCATACAGTTTCAAGGCCACAACTCCTGGGACACCTGCTCAGAGCAACCTCATGGCAGAGATGTCTATTTTCCCCACCTAATCTCTTGTCCACTGACTTGATGGAGTCCCACCAACTTCATTAGAGGAGTAAAGAATCTGAAGGCATAAATCTAACTACATCTCATGTAAATGTGTGATTTTCCATTTTAAGAGATACAGCTGAGATAGAGAAGCTTTATCCCTGGGAGGTTTTATTATCCAGACATCCAGAGCTTTCTCTCTTCAAAGAAACAAAACTAAGTTATTTTTTAAATTGTATTATTTCCCTTGTTATCCTCCTATCCCCTCTCTATCTTATGTAAAGCTCTGTCTAGGCTTCCAGAATCCTCAAGGAAGCAAATCGCTCATTGTTCTTCAGATATTATCTCTAGTTCAGGCAGGAACCTTTCCTAATTTTTTTGTTCAATAGTCCCATTCTATTACACACAGAGGTGACATTTCCCATCCTTTGTCCTCTTGACTTGCATCCTGCACTGAGGAGGAATTTCCATAGTAATATGAATGGTCCATTATATTTTATTTATTATTTAACCTGGGACTCTTCATTTCCCTCTTTCTCTGCCATCTCAAGGGTCTGAAAAGTTTAGAATGGCATAACACTATTTTTTCCATAAGAGATATAAGAGTGTCCCAGGTCATCCCCTATCCAACCTTCTTAGGAATCAGCAGAGAAGATGGACTTGCTGAGAGTTTCTCAAATAATGTTCTTATGGGGGATTTTGTTTTAGCTCTTTTATTCCCAAGACTGACTCCC